CAGACCGACGGACCGACAAGTGCAAAGCAATATACCCCCTTTTCTTCGAAATGGGGGCATAAAAATAAACTTATACAGGAAAATACATACAGATAGTCAGTATGATTTAGATTGCAAAGATCAGAAAATACCACAGAGGTTGCAGCCCTTTGATTAAAACCTAAAATTTATCAGCCATGTTTAGCTAGACTGACCTAATTAAGTGTTTTATTCTGGTGGCATAGGAAGTTGCATACAAAGATTTTAATACTTATCTTTTATTTTAATTACATGTACATGCAAAACGCAATCATCACAATCCTTTGTGTTCCAGGACATATTCCAAGAACTGTAACACTGTCTTGACTGAAGCAGTTTTTACTGCAGTTATGTCCCTTTGCATTGGTTAAAAGATAAAAAATATGTTGCCTTTAATCATTTTGCTTAAAGCAATTCAATATTAAGGGCTTGATGTAGAATAAAGTGTGAGTTACTTGGTGACTTTGATTACAATTTGAAGAATTCATGTATACTGAAATGTTTATTTTGTTAAAAAAATCACATGTTTTGTCTTCCCCTCCCAATTAATTCAGGGTGTACTGTAATAAATGTTTGATAATATGTATGCCCCAGCAAGTGTTTATTGTTTCAAACCTGAAAAAAATAAGATTTGTTTAACATGTGGTATTGACAATGTGCTTATCAGAAAATTAGCTGTAATAGCTGTTGCAGAATGCATGCAGTTTTAAATCTATGGTTTTAATTGATTCAAATTAATTTCTGCAGTCTGGGTGATAAGGTTCTACAAACAAATCCTTTCTTTGTGTTGCACCAATCTGAGAAACATAATGGTTTGCATGTGGTTTTAATAGGAAATTAATTTCTGTCAATAAATTCTTATTTAATTGTTAAAAATACCAGTTTATACAGAACAGAAAAAGTTTGTTATCTCGTGTAAAACCTCTAACAGTATTTTCAGAGTCATTAATGAAGATCACTAAGTGCAATAACTCTGGTATGAACTTTGACTGAATTACACCCCTTTGTAAATTTAATTAATTGTTTGTTGTTTCAATGTTGTTTTTGTTGTTGTTTTTTTTTTCCAAATTTTTTGTTGTTAATATTTCAAAGTTATATTTCAAAGTTTTTGGCAGGTGCTTAGGAGCGTGCACCCTCTGGACATAAAGTCAGAGTCTTTCAGAGGTAATGGAGTGTTTGGGGGGGGGGGGGGGAGTTAAGGGAGTGGGGGAATGGGTGATTAAGTACAGGTTTAGATGTTTGTCTCATAGATATTTGAGTTTTGGTTATGTTTCTCATCTTAAAGCAGCACACTTCCAGCCAGATTCATGCAATTTTCATGAAATTTTGAAAATGTATTTAAAAGTGAAATATTGTGAAGTAACCAAAAGGATTACAAACAGCACTCACAACCCATGTAAATTATCAAAAATCAAAAATGAGGTAAAAAATATTTTAAAAAGTCTTTACGCTGTGTTAGTATGGCAGTGGAAATATGGTTTTAAATACTAAAAAAATCAATCATTAATCGCACATAACATGTAAATTTTTACCGAAATCTTTAAAAAATATTACTTTTCCTAAAATATAAGTACATGTACATTTTTCTCAGGTTTGATTTTATTGAAATATATTTAGGTCATAGGAGGCATGCATATTTAAGACATCAGAAGCAAACTGGGCTAAGAGTTTCTTAGTTTTGTTTAGGTTCTTTTAACAATTAGACTTATCATCAATTAATTGGTTTTAGAGTTCTTGTTCTATTATACCCCTTTGCTTTAATTATAATTGTCAATAAGGAAGACCCATGCAAACTTATACATTTATAATTTGCTGTTTTTGAATACATACAAAGACAAGTTTTATTTGGCCTGTATGTCATTTATTTTTTCCAGGGCATAAGCTATACTTTTTACACAAAAATTGGAGCGTTAAAAAAATCTTCAATATGAGACTGGCAGGCAGATTGTCCGGATTTTTTTTTGCTACATTAACATCAAAATAATGTCTTTTTAATGTTACATAGCTAAGAAGATAAAATGTTTGTAAACAAAATAATAAATATCAGATATACAGAATATCATTCCATCAGTAGGGTGATGAAACTTTAAGTAGAAACATATCCAGTAATGTCTTTTTCCTTTTGCTTCAAGATTGGAAACATCTGTTTGTATATTTATATTGATTTTAAATGCTTGTAAATTCTCAAACAACTGGCATTTTGTTAAAGCAAAATATTACTGTTAATTATAATTATTATTTTCATCATCATCATTATCATTTTCATCATCATCAACATCATTGTCATCATCATCATTATAATCATCATTTTCATCATCATCATCATCATTGTCATCGTCACCTGTATCATCATTTTCATCATCAACATCATCTTCAACATCATCATTATTATCATCATCATTGTTATCATCATCATCATTGTCATCATTATCATCATGTTCATCATCACCTGTATTATCATTTTCATCATCAACATCATCATCACCATTGTTATTATCAGCATCATCATCATCATTATCATCATCATCATTATCATTTTCATCATCATCATCATCACCATCAACATCATCATCATCATTGTCATCATCATCATTGTCATCGTCACCTGTATCATCATCAACATCATCTTCAACATCATCATTATCAGCATCATCATCATCATTATCATCATCATCATTGTCATCATTATCATCATGTTCATCATCATAAGTATTATCATTTTCATCATCAACATCATCATCACCATTGTCATCATCATCATCATCATCATCATCATATATCATCATCATCATTATCATCATCACCTGTATCATCATTTTCATCATCAACATCATTATTGTCATCATCATTGTCATCATTATTATCATCATCATCATCATCATTCATCACCCATCATCATCATCATTATTATCATCATCATTTTGATCTATCACCCATCATCATATCATCATTATGTTCATCATAATTATTATAGAAATATTTCCAAGTTCAGTTTCCGAATTTAGATCACTTTGTTTCCAGAATTTTTTTTTTAGAATTGTACAATATGATTATACAATTTCCGGGATGTGTTTAAACTATTGTATAAACAAGTTAAGTTTGTGCTACTAGTATAAAGCATAGGGTCAGTCTGCATAAATGCCAATGCACAGTCTGACCAGGCTCAATACTAATGGCTGACTTACTTCCAAACTTCATCCTGATATCACCAAAGCATTCAGATACTTGGCTTCAGTGATGGTGGAATGTCCAAAATATGGAATTTATTTCACTCCAATTAATTAAGTAATTCAGTAGGTTTAGTGCTTTTAATGTCTTCTTCCAACAATAAAACATGAAAGTCAATATATCATAATACTTGTAGGTAGTGGTCATGAATATCAGACCTCTATGATAAAGAAAATAATAGACATTCATATGTATTGTTAAGGATTACTTACTTCGAACTTAGAGGCGTGTTGCAAATTTTTTATTTATTTTATATTTTTTTGGTCAATTAGTAACTGAAAGCTTAACTTTGGCTTGTTATCAAATCATAGCCCCTGTAGCCACATTGTATAAATGATGGTATTTTGTAACAGTTTTTGTTTTATTTTTGTTGGAAGATCTGTTGAAAATACAGTTTTTTTCCTGTTGAAAGTTTAAATTGAAAGGCTGATGAGTTATATTATGTCTTTAAGAATTGACGAATGCCAAGTATTCAAAAATACTATAAATTCAGAGATTGTATTGGCCAAATATTAAAAGAAATTCAATAAGCTGACACTTATTATACTTTGAACTGTTTTCTTGGTATGGAGAATGGTCATGACCAGTAAATAAACCCTAATGTTTTTGGTGTCACTAGGTCAAAGGTCAAGGTCACATTGACCCTTTTTACTGCAACTGTTTCCTACCAATAACTCAACAACTCATTTGCCCTTCAGTGTCCTCAATCATCCAGATGCATTGGTGTTAGCCAGTAGATGACCTCTATTGTATTGGGGTCAAGGTGTTAAAGGTCAAGGTCACATACACCTTGTATGTAAAAACTGATTCCAGCCAAGAACTCTGCAACTCATGGGCTCTTGGCCTTTAAACTTTGCATTGGTCGAAGTTGCATTGCAGTCAAAGCTTCATTGGTCTTGGCCAGTAGATGACCGCTATTGATTTTTAGGAGCTGGTGGCCAAAGGTCAAGGTCACATTCGCCTTGTTTTGTATCATATAGCTCAAAAAATGACTATGATTGTTGTAAACCAACTATTTTTAAAAGATAATTGCATTCTTTTTTCCCTATTGAAAAAACACTTACCATTACATTATCAGTTTCCCTGTGCTGTCATAAAGGTTACTTATACTACCCATTAAAAGTTAGAGGGGGGTGGCATATATGTCATGTTTGAAATAAATCTTTAGAGAGTTTACTCCCTTGTTTTAATAATCTGCCTTATATCAAAAAAAATTGGAGAGTGCTCTCTCTTTGCTTTGTCTATGTGATAACTTATAATTATGTATCAAGCATTTAAAATATCAATTAAGGCTATGTTTAACTACTGGAAAAGGCAACAGGCACCTTTTCTTTCAAGCCTTAAAATGTAATGTTTGTCCAGAAGATTTTGAGAAAATAAAATTTAATGAATAAGATGTAAATTTAAAGTCAGAAGCCACATAAAAAAAGCTCAAACCTGACCAACAAAGGTCACTTTTCATTAAAGACTATTGTTGATTATAACAAACAGACATCCAAATAAGAACTACATGTATCTGTCTAAAACAATGGTGTTAATTTTGCCCATATATGGCACTTGACTGTATCTCCAATCATCTTAGGTGTAATATATCTGCTCTCTATACAAAGCATGAAAAAAGAAGCAGTGTCACCTCAATTTAAAGGGGCTCTTTAGATATAGGCAACAGAAAAAAAGTGCAGAATCAATAAATGGAAGTACATATTTCTGTAAATGGGTAAATTTATGACCTGTTTGTATTTGTCTATTTTCAGGATGTTGGGTTTAAACCTGATGTTGAAGTGGAGAATGGTGTTCACATGGAGGGATATCTCTTCAAGAAAACAAAACATGCATTTAAAGCTTGGGTTAGGTAAGTCATTGTCATTATTGACAATTTTTTTTTTCTCTTCTTTTTGTTTGAAGTGTGCAATTCGAGTTTAACAGATTCTATGATGGCAGTTTATGGTGTATAAACTTTCTTTGTAGATGAATGAAAAATAAGTTATCAGTTAATCAGACTTAAGTAGTATAACCTTCCATTGGAGATAAATGAAAAACAAGGCATCAGACACTATTAACAAGACTTGAGGCATATAAACTTTCATTGGATATGAAGGAAAAATTAGGTATCAGTCAACCAGACTAAATGAGGCGTATAAACTTTTATTGGAGATGATTGAAAAATAAGGTATCAGTTAACCAGACTTGAGGCGTATAAACTTTCATTGGATATGAATGAAAAACTAGATATCCAATGAAAGTTTATACATCAGTCAACCAGACTTGAGACATAAACTTTCATTGGAGATTATTGAAAAATGAAGTATCAGTTGACAAGACTTTAGGCGAATAAACTTTCATTGGAAATAAACTCATCTATGTAGAAATAAAGAAAGAGAAAAAGGGTTAGGTCAAAATTTTTGAAATTGACATAAAATTTCATTCTTATAAGTGATATTGAATGATAAAAGCCCTCTGATAATTTTATATCTAGGCGATGGTTTTCAATAGAGGAAAATCAGCTGCGGTACCAGAAAAGATCAAAGGATACTTCTGTCACTGTTATGGAGGAAGATTTACGTCTGTGTACAGTGAAACCAGCTTATGATCTAGACAGAAGGTTCTGTTTTGAAGTGTTGTCACCAACAAGGTGCGTATGATTCTTATTTTAAACTTATTTATTATTAATTCATCAGATAATCATGCTTCAATGTTACTATTTATATTTTAAAATGATACTATAAATAGATGTGACATACTTCAATGTTATTATTTATAGAAGTGACATTTTAAAATGATACTATAAATATATAGCTGTGACATACATTAGTGTTACTATTTATAGAAGTCACATGTTACAAGCACACACAGAGGAAGAGTTTCAGACATGGGTCAGTGCAATACAGTCAGGGGTAACAAAGGCATTCAGAGCTGCAGAGAAACGAAACTCAGATGCTGGGGTATACCTTTCTTTTCTGTTTCCGTTATAAAAGTAAAGTTTAAAACTAAAGTAAGGTTCTATGTTTAATTTCATATATTTCTGAGTCCTTTTATAATTAAATGTATACTCCAGATAGGGGAAGTAAGGACTGGGGGATGGGGTTTCATTGCCCCTCTCTGGAATTAGGGTAGTATGCCAAAATCTCTTGAGATTTAGATATCTACTTTTCTTTTGTTGAAAATCACCTAAAAACTAATGAAAATCACCCAAAAATAAAACTCATGATGCCCCTGCCCCTCTGGTAAACTTCCAAACATTATCTCTGGGATATGCATTACCCCTAGTCTAAATTTTGCAATCCCGCCTGGAAAATATTCTTGATCTGTGCCCGAGATATATTTGTATAATTATTAGAACAGCACTATAGGTCGAAAAGATCAACTTATAATGTTTTGCACCTTTCATTTCGTTATTCTACTGTATATTTGCAGGCAATTTTACGGCCACTCTTTCTTTAAATGGATGGAAAGAAATTAAAACTAGTTTGAAGAACTGTTTACCATAATGAGATAAAAAAATAACACAATTCAGCAGAAATGTTGATAATGATCAGTTGATATTCAGAACTCAACTTGTGGCTTTCTCCTATCAAAATTGACCCTGCACCCACAGTCACTTATTATGCCCCCATTTCGAAGAAAAGGGGGTATATTGCTTTGCACTTGTCGGTCCGTCGGTCTGTCGGTCCGTCGGTCCGTAGACCAAATGGTTTCCGAGTGATAACTAAAGAACCCTTAGGCCTAGGAACTTCAAACTTGGTATGGTGATTGGTCATAACCAGTAGATGACCCCTATTGATTTTGGGGTCAAGGGGTCAAAGGTCAAGGTCACATTGACCTTGTAAGCAAAAACGGTTTCCGATCAATAACTAAAGAACCTTAAGGCCTAGGAACTTCAAACTTGGTATGGTGATTGGTCATGATCAGTAGATGACCCCTATTGATTTTGGGGTCAAGGGGTCAAAGGTCAAGGTCACATTGACCTTGTAAGCAAAAATGGTTTCCGATCAATAACTAAAGAACCTTAAGGCCTAGGAACTTCAAACTTTGTATGGTGATTGGTCATGACCAGCAGATGACCCCTATTGATTTTGGGGTTAAGGGGTCAAAGGTCAAGGTCACATTGACCTCTTGGGTGAAAACGGTTTCCGATCAATAACAAAAGAACCCTTAGGCCTTGGAACTTCAAACTTGGTATGGTGATTGGTCATGACCAGCAGATGACCCCTATTGATTTTGGGGTTAAGGGGTCAAAGGTCAAGGTCACATTGACCTCTTGGGTAAAAACGGTTTCCGATCAATAACAAAAGAACCCTTAGGCCTAGGGACTTCAAACTTGATATGGTGATTGGTCATGATCAATAGATGACCCCTATTGATTTTGGGGTCAAGGGGTCAAAGGTCAAGGTCACATTGACCTCTTAGGTAAAAACGGTTTCCAATCAATAACTCAAGAACCCTTAGGCCTAGGAACTTCAAACTTGGTATGGTGATTGGTCATGACCAGCAGATGACCCCTATTGATTTTGGGGTTAAGGGGTCAAAGGTCAAGGTCACATTGACCTTGTAGGTAAAAAAGCTTTCCGATCAATAACTTAAGAACCCTTAGGCCTAGGAACTTCAAACTTGGTATGGTGATTGGTCAAGACCAGCAGATGACCTATTGATTTTGGGGTCAAGGGGTCAAAGGTCAAGCCACAGTGACCTTGTAGGTAAAAACGGTTTCCGATCAATTAACTAAAAACTCTTAGGCCTAGGAACTTCAAACTTTGTATGATGATTGGTCGTGACCAGCAGATGACCCCTATTGAGTTTTGGGTCAAGGGGTCAAAGGTCAAGGTCACATTGACCTTGTAAGTAAAAACGGTTTCTGATCAATAACTTAAGAACCCTTAGGCCTAGGAACTTCAAACTTGGTATGGTGATTTGTCATGACCAGCAGATTACCCCTATTGATTTTGGGATCAAGGGGTCAAAGGTCAAGGTCACATTGACCTTGTAAGTAAAAATGGTTTCTGATCAATAACTAAAGAACGCTTCGGCCTAGGAACTTCAAACTTGGCATGGTGATTGGTCATGATCAGCAGATGACCCCTATTGATTTTGGGATCAAGGGGTCAAAGGTCAAGGTCACATTGACCTTGTAAGTAAAAACGGTTTCTGATCAATAACTAAAGAACGCTTCGGCCTAGGAACTTCAAACTTGGCATGGTGATTGGTCATGACCAGCAGATGACCCCTATTGATTTTGGGGTCAAAGGTCAAGGTCACATTGACCTTGTATGTTAAAACGGTTTCGGATCAATAATAAAAGAACCCTTAGGCCTAGGAACTTCAAACTTGGCATGGTGATTGGTCATGACCAGCAGATGACCCCTATTGATTTTGGGGTCAAGGGGTCAAAGGTCAAGGTCACATTGACCTTGTAGGTAAAAACGGTTTCTGATCAATTAACTAAAAACGCTTAGGCCTAGGAACTTCAAACTTTGTATGATAATTGGTCGTGACCAGCAGATGACCCCTATTGAGTTTTTGGTCAAGGGGTCAAGGTCATGACCAGAAGATACTTGATAACCCTTATTAATTGTTTGATCACTGGGTCAGAAGTCATGCATAATAACCTCATCACATGACTAATTGGCTGCTGATAGGGGGCATACATGTTTTACAAACATATCTTGGTTTATATAGACATATACATATGTAGGAAAACACATTTATGTGAAACTACAATTCTTAGAGTATTTTAGGCCTCTACAAAAGTGATATACATGTATATCGTGCTGATGGGGTCAAAAATGGCATTTCCCTGGGTTTATTAAGATGACAGATTAATATAGTAACCATGCCTTAAAAAAATCTTCTGCTCCAAAACCACATTGCCAAAAGTATAGTCATTTGGTATGTAGCATCACCATGTGGTAAACAAAGTCTTCTTGATGTTAATCATAATCTGTGATAAATACTTGCCTGCCCAGTAACTTTTTATGTCTGTCTCCTTATGTGAAGTTACAATGCCCAAAATTTAGATATTTTTGCATTTACCATTGCCGAGTGGGCCAAAAGTTACATGATAAATCATTAAACTTGGGGTGAAAAAAATGGATCCACTATAGGGGCCACTTTGATTATGTAGAATAATGTAGTAACATAACTTCAGAAAATTTTCTATTCATAAATTGCAATGCCCAGAGTTTACATTTTGTATGCAGCATTTTCTCGTACTCTGCAAATTTGCCAGGAAAAAAAACGGAGGTGAAGAAAATTTTATTGGGAGTCTATGAAGTGAAATATACGGTACAACCTCGGCAAAGCAAATTATCCTTTAGGAGACAACTATTGTGATTCATGATTTTATATAGATAAGTTATTGCTTCTCTCATGTCCACTCTGTTGAGGTTGTACTGTAGTTCTTAATCCATGCAAGCAAGTTAACAACAGAAATAAAAAAAATATGGTAATAAAACATTAGATTTAAGTCATATTTTTAATGTGAACCAATCATTTAATATGCAAAAGGATAAACTTCAAACATTATCAATTATCATGCAAACAGATAGATATTTTTTTTCTTGCTTGAAAATGCTTTGAAAGTGTAACTGTGTCTAGACATGTAAATTTTAAATCAACAGAGTATGATGTGGTACAGATTTCATGAAATGTTATTACCGCAGATATTGAGCATGTTTTCTTGATAATTAATTAAAGGGACTTCACTTAGGTTATTTGACATGATTGGACTGGAAATGATTTCTTAAATCAATGTTTGATTTGATGTATATCTAGGCCAATAAGTTGTGTTTAACATTTCAGATCATCAGCTCTCTCCGTTTTTTCCAGAATAGTTATTCTTATTGTTAAAAATGGCCCAATTTGAAAAGCAGTGCAGTGCTTTTCACTCAATTCAGACTTAGAATAACACAAAAATATGATTTTTTAATTTTTGTCTGAGAATATTTCTTAATTATATTGCATAACTTTCTGTATCAAGTGCCCCAGCTGATCCATATAAAAATTGAATTTTTAGGTTTTTGGACCTTATTGGGGTTCCTTTAACTTTATTGAATTTTTAGGTTTTTAAGTTTTTGAACCTCAATTGAGTTCCCTAACTTTATTAAATATTTATGTTTTTAGGTTTTTTGAACCTCAGTGGAGTTCCTTTAACTTTATTGAATTTTTATTTTATTACAGCTGAATGAGAGCACTAGCAGTAGTAAGGGAGGTAACTCTACAAGTGATTTGTCGGCCTTAGATAGTCCTGCCCCAGAGGCGGAGAAAAAGAAATCTAAAGCACAAATGTATGTTGTAAAAGTGATTAATTAGAATTACATCTTAACGGTGTTAAGCTACCACACTATGTAATTTTGTGCAGAATAATTGCATACCAAGTTGACTGTAGATTTTTTTTCTAGGGCTGTCTTTCCCTAAATTATGAAGAGGCCTTCCTGATTTGTGAATGACAAGTGTGATTTTTATTGAATTGTGAAATTTATTTTCCTTTTAATTGTGAAAGAAGCAGCATGATGTTGACAATTTGTAAGAAATATTTAAAAAAAATTAGATTTTCTTTTACTTTGTGAAAACAAAACAAACTTTAGTTACCAATCAGAACTTAAAAGCCTTATATTTAGTTCAGGATAACGGGTTTTTTCCAAAAACAATATATTTAGCTTTAATACTGAATTGCCACAGTAAATAAAGAAATTATCGCATATTTTAGTGGCATATTATTCAGTTGTGAAGCTGGCATTTTAGAATTTTGAATGGGAGCTTTTTCAGATTGTAAAGGGGTCTAACATTGATCCCCCCGTTCATAAGTGAAGATATTATATAATATTAATAAACATTGTAATATATTGAGAATATTATAGGTGATTATTGACCCTAATTAAACCTGTATACCAGTCACCATATATTGATATCTTTTCAAGTATTTACATCAAAGCGTAAAACACTGTCTCAAGTGACACAAATGTGTTCAACATAAGTATAACGAAACCTTTCAAGATAGTGCCAAGACAGCTTTAGATTCATTACACTAGTGCTGGAAATGAACTGTAATTTACCATTTTATCAGGTTTGTGTGGGTTTTTTTTCAGGCAAATAGAGAAACTTTACTCAATACCAGGAAATTCCAAATGCTGTGACTGCGAGTCCCCTGATCCGCGCTGGGCTAGTATAAATCTGGGTATCACTTTGTGTATAGAATGTTCTGGAATCCACAGGTATTTTGCCTTACTTAGTTTATAAAAATAATAGATATTAATTGTATAAAGCTATGGAATGAGTTACTAAGGGTTAGTGCCTTTGACTTGTAAATTTCGTAACCTTAATGAGGGTATTTGAATATCTAATAACTTTCCTCTTGTGCCTGACTGGTTGCCTTTAATGCTAGAGTGGTAAGAATTGCAGCCACCATTTATCCCTGCGTGATCGTAAGAGGCCACTAAATGGGTTCGAGTAACTAGAATATATGCATTTCTTAGGTCCAGCAGAGGTTTGTAACATCCAAGGTTAGCCAAAATCATCTTTCCTGTTTCTGCACCATATGACCTTAATTGTGTTGGTGTGCTGTAAAACAAAACCAAACAAAGGAAGAAAAAATAACTTATATTATATGGATTGCAATTAATTATAACATTTTTGATTTTTTTTTTAAAGTTTATAACTAAGGGAATATGAACAAGTGCTTGAAATTTTGGATATTACCAGCTTAATGCTTATAGTATAGTAAAAATAGCATATTATAACAATACAGTAAGAAAAATATTATTTTATGACTATACAATATCTAAACATAACTTTGTTTTTGAAAGCATGGTTAGGATTACCCACCACTCACAAAATAGCCTGCTTTCGTAAAAAAGATTTCACGTGTAGATATGTGCGAGGGATTGTAAAGATATATACATAAACAATAAAAGGAATGAAAAAACATCCAGGTCTCTGTTTGACTTTGCATGTTTCAATAGTTGCTTTCCAGTTTCGATACAGAATGAAATTAACAGACCCAGTCATTTAGAATATTATAGTATGTAATACTTCAAGGCAATATGAAAAGTTGGATTCGAAAAAGCTTTATTTTGAACTTTTCAAGTTTTTTGAATGAAGAGAACACAAAATGTCTCTTTTTGAGTTATAATGAATATGTAAAACTGTTTTTCTTATTACTTTTTTCCAGAGGGTTTGGAGTCCATATATCAAAAATACGTTCAATTACGTTAGATTCATGGGAGCCAGAGTTACTCAAGGTTATGGGGGAGCTTGGAAATGATGTCATTAATAGAATTTATCTAGTCAATGTGGATGATAGTATTACGCGCGCCACAGCGGAATGCCCAGGGTAAACTTGTGTACTATTCAAAGGGGGACTATTCAAAGAATACAGAGAGCTATTGTTCTCACATCAGTGTCACACTTTAGTTGTTTTTTTGTGTGTGTGCAAGTTGGTATCTCCAAAGGTACTAAATGGAATGGGATGTAACTTCACATACTTTATTGAGAACATAATAGGTTACTGACTAAGGCCCATAATAGATTTTGACAGAATTATGGCCGTTTTTGAATTTAGAAATTTCTACATTATCCAGGCACTTGTTTTACTATCAAGCACTAAGAAAAGGCATGTGAAAGTCAGTACATGATCTTTAAGTATTGATAGAACTTGAACTCAACACATACTTTTTAATATGCCTGAAAATTTTTTAGGGATAGATTGTTATGCAATTTTTGTCCTCTTTGTATCTTTTGAACAGATGAAATGAAATTGAAACTACTTGGCAAAAATGTTAACCAATATGAGACAATGTGCAGACCATTCACAAGTCAAGGCCATTGTCATACTTAGTTATTTTGTGTGAATTTTAAAATAAAATTTCGTGTTGACTCTGGTGAACCTGGGGTCAATATTAGCTCTGCCTCAGGGTTCATTTGATTTATATAGAGTTATATTGGAAGAAACACATTTAAGACTTATTGTGTGAAATTGCTATAACCAGAGCTTAGCTATTTGAGATGTAGCATTGCCAAGTTGACCTCTACAAAAAATATATAAATCATGACCCTGGGGGTAAAAATTGCCCCCACCCTAGAGGTCACATAGTTTATGTACAGTTATATCCCTTTAAACTTTATACATACTTGAAGAACTTAAAAAAAAGGAATACTTTCACTCCTTGTTGTGGTCTTATTCTTTAGCTTAATATGGCTATATAAAATTTTGCAGCAAAACTTGAGACTTCAATTATTCATTTTTGCAGTGGATTATTGGTATCAATGAATGATATTTTTAGGCCTGTTCGGGAAGCTTGGATTAAAGCCAAATATGTACAGAAGAAGTTTGTGTCAAAGCTACCTGGAACAAAATCATCAGAGGGCCGTGTCAAAGGATGGCGTGTCAAGAAGAAAACACGAAGGTCACCAGGGCGAACCTTGGCATCCGAGGATAGTCAGGCGGGATCGGCAAAATCTTCACCGGACTCGGATCTAACAAGCGGTCTGTTGGAGGGTATATACAAATAAATAGATGTGGAAATAAAGTGGTGCTAAATATTTATATATATATAGTTTTATCCTTTGCTGCTTTTCGTTAGCACTTGCACTTATTATTTAGATTTCCTAGCGTACTTTAAATTTGTTTTCCTACGTTGAATTTGGGAAAATTTCTTAATTTTGTTGTTGCACAAATTATATGTGTACCTATGTTCAATATTTTACCAAACTATGCAGAATTTTCCCTCGTGGCCAATTTGTGTCGTATTATTTAGATTATTTCTGTGGCTAATGATAAATTGTGTATGTTTGGGTTTGTTTACCCTTGTCACCAGAATAATTACCATATGGACAAGCAGAGTTTATGACAGAGCATAGCAATATCATATCATATAATTTTCTCAGACTTTGATTGGTCCATTTTAATTCTATTTTAAAATCTTCACAAAGGAAGTAATTGTCAGAATGTAAAGTATACATATCATAGTTATAAATAAATTCCTTTTGGTATAGTTTTTTATTCTTACAAAGGAATATTCAGGTGTTTGTCTAGTGTAAGGTTTATGTATGTTTCTATAAAACACATTCATGAATGCATTTCATACTCTGTGTTATGAAATGTAAAGTGCTTTGCCTTGTAGCCAGCTTTTGTTGTAAACTCACCTTGACAAAGTGCTCAAAGGTGATTTTTGTGATAGCCTTATGTCCATTGTTGTAAAAGCCTCATGTCCATTGTTGTAATAGCCTGATGTCCATTGCTGTAATAGCCTGATGTCCATTGTTGTAATAGCCTCATGTCCATTGTTGTAAAAGCTTGATGTCAATTGTTGTAAAAGCTTTATGTCCATTGCTGTAATAACCTGCTGTCCATTTTTGTAATAGCCTCATGTCCATTGCTGTAAAAATTTCATGTCCATTGACATTGGTATCCAACAAATTGATGAAGCAACATAACAACTTTTTAGAGACCACTAGCGAGATTTTAACCAGATTTCACAGAAAGATTGTCCATTACAAAGTCATATATACAAATTCCTGTCTGATGCACAAAAATCACAAAATACGGAGGAAGAAACAGTCATTATATGAAACATTTAAGAGTTTCAAGGCTTAGTGTAGATATTAGATCATAATTTTCCTTGTGGATTTCTACAAAAGTAATGTAAATTATGAACATTGGGTCCAAAATTGGCCCCACCCCTTGGCACTTACATGCACTGAGCTGTAGGCACCTGAGGTCTCCCTCTACCATTGAAGCTTAAAAGTCACCACATGACCTACTCAAGTGATTGAAATCAGTCATAATGAAACTGGTTATATAACAGAGCTGCTTTTAGTTATTTTGTCTGCAATCTTATATATAAACATGTAAATCTTGCTAAGCCTTTTGTAATGAGGAATATAAAACATATAATTAATAAAATAATACATAAAAATAATCTTTAATTTAACAAGTTAAAAACTCATAACCATCTAATCATTGTGAAATCAGCTAAAGCTTACATGTAAAAAAAGTCTGTTTCTGCTCCTGCTACTTTTGGGGGATGATTATAGATTTGGCCTTGAGCCTCTGTCTTGATGGATGTCCATACACTTATAAAACAGTAGAATGTTTGGACATCTTAAAAAACAGTACAATGTGGGGACGTCATATAAAACAGTAGAATGTTGGGACATCTTATAAAACAGTAGAATGTGGGGATGTCATAAAAACAGTAGAATGTGGGGACATCATATAAAATAATATAATGTGGGGACATCTTATAAAACAGTAGAATGTGGGGACATCATATAAAACAGTAGAATGTGGGGACATCTTATAAAACAGTGGAATGTTGGGACATCTTATAGAACAGTAGAATTGGGACGTCATATAAAACAGTAGGGACATCTTGTATAAAATTGGAATGTGGGGACACTTTATTAACAGTAGAATGTGGGGACATTTTTATAAAACATTGGAATGTGGGGACATCTTGTGGAATGTGGAGACATCTGTGCTTTATCTATGGAGATATTTTTAGTTTCAGATTAGTTCATATTTTATTTTTCATTCTTATCCTTATAAATGTCTTTAATTAAAGTGAAACCAGTAGACATGTTGTTTCATCTTGCCCCAATGTTGATGTGTTGTTCCTTCTCTGTTGTGTGTGTTGTTTATTATTAAAAATAAAAAAACCAACTACAATGAAAATTTAACTCATATTGTACATATCAAATTAAAGATTTTTCCCACACTTTTGAACGCTTTAGTTGACTTTTGATTAAAAGATTTAAAAAATTGAACTTACACATTAAGCTTTTACAAAGAAAAAAGTTTTAAATTAGATATATGATTTTTATGATATGTACACCACGCAAAATCTTTTGTAGACTTTTTGTATTCAACGTGAAATATTGTGACGCTATTGTTTTAATTATACCTTTAAGAACATCAAATTAGTTTTAAAATTTGTTTCATTCTTATAGCTGTAATGTCTGTGACAGCATCTAAGGACACAGATTCCAGCGAGGCTCCAAGTCCGTCAGAGGGTAGTGATGAGTCAGCAGAAAAGGACAACTTGGTAGTTGATACAGACACAGATGTAGATAAGAGTGCCACAGAAGACGTGATTGTGTTCGGAACAGATTTCAATCTGCCGGGTTCGTTAATGCCAGTTTTTTTATCGTCTGCTTTTTTTAATAAGTTATTTTGAGATATATGTATAAATGAGATATAAGTCTTATCACACTGTTTTCACACTGTGTGTAATACAGAATTTAGGTTCCAGTTCTGTTCATTGAAATTTTAACCAAAATAGAAATGCACAACAGATTATTATTTACATGACATTAAATTAAATTTTAAAGTAAAAGTTTAGAATCAGCATTTGGCATGCTATTTAGAGCTGTTAGATTAGTTTTGAAGGGACTCCAATGAGGATTTTTAACATTAAGGGAATGGAATTATTTTTGAGAACTGTTTATTTTTTATATATAAATTTGGGCCAGTGACTTGGGGGTAATATTTTAAAACATTTACCCGCTTTGTTTTTCAATAATGTAATTTTGATTGTGCAAAATGACACAAAATTAAAAAAGATCTAAGCACTTCCAACTTAGTTGGGTAAGAGTTACAAAAAGTTGGTTTTCAGTTTTCATTCTTAGTATATTTTTCAATTGTTTCTTCATATTTAATCGAAACAATTTCACAGAATGATGTTAAAAGTGAATTTAAATGGTCTGTATTCCTAAAGGGACTCCACTGAAGTATTTTAACATGAAGGGAATTGCATTTTTTTTTTTGGAAATCTTTCATACCAATTGATATAGATCTGGACCAGGAACATGTGTGCAAAATTTCAGATCATTGGCTTGATCTGTTTTTCCAGAACCATAAATTTAATTGTACAAGCAAACTGACACTAAAATAAAAAGCATTTAAACACTTTTAACAAAAATCAGGCTAAGAATTGCACAAAAGGTTGTTTTTCTTAATGATTATTGTCTTTAAAATATTTTCCATGCACAAGTTAATCTATGTAGGAATCTCAAATTACATGTATATATTTTAGGTATTTTGACCTCAGTCAGTTCCTTTAAGGTGGCCTTATTCACTTTATTTTTAGCTTGACCTTTATTTATAGGGTGGTATTATATAATGAGGATGCTGTAAATAATAAAAGACCCTTGTCTCTTATCAAGTTTGCTCATATTACAAAAATGTATTTTGATTGGCCCCTTTTAGGGGCCGCTAAAGCTAAAAATAGAAATACATTTACACATCTGCTTTTACTAAATTAATTGATCATAATGATGGATGATCACCAAACTTTGTCTGTAGCATTCTTATATTGTCTTTGATATGTTACTGAAAAGCAGTTGTTTCTGGTGAGCGACTTGGGGCCATGATTGTTTATTTATTTAAGGGCCATTCTTTTATCACAGTATATAAATAAAAACCATGATATGTTTTAATTGTGGCACAGATTTCCAGCTTGACATGTCATCAGAATCTTCGGGTACAGAAGAGGATGCTAAATCTACGACAAGCTGGGAGGACATGTCGTCTCTTGATCCGAACATGTTATTGTACAAGGCGGCTCACGCTCGTAACCTGGCAGTCATGCTAGAGGCAATAGCTAATGGGGCGGACACAAATTGGGTCAACACGCAGGAAGATGACAAAACTCCATTAATGAAAGCAATAGAAACTGTAAGTGATATTATAATTGAGCCGTGCCATGACAAAACCAACATAGTGCGTTTGTGACCAGGTTGGATCCAGACCAGCCTGCGCATCCGCGCAGTCTGATCAGGATCCATGCTGTTTGCTATCAGTTTCTCTACTTGTTATAGGGTTTGTAAGCGAACAGCAAGGATCCTGATCAGACTGCGTGGATGCGCAGGCTGGTCTGTATCCATGCTGGTAGCAAACCCATTATGTTGGTTTTGTCATGAAGCTGCTCATATATTTTTTGATGGGTTTTAGTTCTAAATGAGACTATTTTGATAACATTCCTGCTTGTGTGTAAAGCTGTTGAAAGTAGACCTATTCTTAAGGATTTAAATATTTTAAAAGCCTGTTTTTAGCTCACCTGAGCATATGCTCAGGGTGAGCTATTAGGATCACTCTTCGTCCGTCGTCTGTCGTACGTCGTACGTCAACCGTTGTCCGTTCACACTTTTCAAACGACATCTCCTCTGAAACCATAAGGCAGATCATAATGAAACTTCACAGGGATGTTCCTTGTGTGAAGCCTTAACAAAGTTGTTCAAAGAATTCCATTCCATGCAGAACTCTGGTTGCCATGGCAACCAAAAGAAAAAACTTTAAACATCTTCTTCTAAAAAACCCAAAGAGCTAGAGCTAAGATATTTGGCATGAAACATCTTCTAGTGAGTGTCTACCAAGATTGTTCAAATAAAAGCCCTGGGGTCAAAATTGGCCCACCCCCAGGGGTCATTGATTTTCCCTATATACATGTAGTAAAAACTTAACAATCTTCTTTTAAAGAACCCAAAGAGCTAGAGCTAAGATATTTAGCATAAAACATGTTCTAATGGATGTTTACCAAGTTTGTTCAAATAAAAGCCCTGGGGTCAAAATTGGCCCAGCCCTAGGGGGTCATTGATTTTCCCTATATTGCATATAGTAATTAAAAACTTAAAAATCTTCTTTTAAAGAACCCGAAGAGCTAGAGCTAAGATATTAAGCATGAAACATGTTCTAATGGGTGTCTACCAAGTTTGTTCAAATAAAAGCCCTTGGGTTAAAATTGGCCCTGCCAGGGGGAGGGGGGCAAAAGTCATTGTTTTTCATTATTTGTGTATAGTAAAAACTTAACATCATGAAACATCTTCTAATGGGTGTCTTCCAAGTTTTTTCAAATAAAAGCCCTTTGGTTTAAACTGGCCCCGCCCTGAGGGCCTATGTACAGGTGAACGACCCCAGGGCCATCATGGCCCTCTTGTTTGGAAGATATGATTATTTGGTAGTGTTAGTTTATACAAATTTGTTTTAGTTTGATTGTGTTGGAAGCTTTAAGCTTATTGAAACACTCTGTTCCTGGTACCAACCAGTACTAAGGAGTGAGTGTAAAATTTCTCGCTCGCGGAAACAATGGCTTGCCTCTGATAGGGTATTAATCCATTTGACCTGCAATTCTTAGATTACTAGTCTGCGCATTAACCACTTGGACATGCCACCACAGTATTTGTTAAAGTGTTCACCAACCTATATTCATTAAAATTCTTAACTCTTACTTTACAAAAGGCTTTCTTACCAGAGGAGCTGTGCCCTTTATTAAAAAAAATAAAAAATTTTTTTGTTTTATTCTGTTTTTGAACTAGAAAATCAATGTTTGTGAAAAAAATGTTCAATTTTTTGTTTGTAAAACACCAGTACAAAGATGGAAATATTCAACTTCAGTTTTAATTGTAAATTATAATGAATAGAGGATATTTAAGTTTTTTTTTCTATATATACAAGAATTATTTTCATCAAGTGGTATGAAAACAAATATTTCATGAGTGACGTTAGCCATGAGTTAAATACGATAATTTTCATAGCACAAGATGAAAATAAATCCCGTATTTTTAGAAAAACTTAGTAATTTTATTTATTATATATATTTTTATCTTTTTCGACTTTGCAGTTCGAAAGACTTCCCCATTAAGTTTGTGTATTGGCTGAATTTAGAAGAAAGTAGACTGGCAAGACACCAGTGAAAATATGGAAAACACGTTTTACTGCAGTGAAAAATTAATGTTTACTGTGAAAGTATGAAAAATGAAAAATATACATTTTATTTCATCAATATTTCATTTATGTATATACTACATTTATTTATTTGCAGGGATCATTGTCAGCATGTGAGTTTCTGTTATTGAACCGTGCCAAATTAGATAAGAAAGATAGAAAAGGCCGTACACCTTTACATCTTGCCACAATGCTTGGAAATACAGGGTATGGTTTAACTTCATTCCTTTAACCTTAACCCCCGCTAGTTGCAACAAACTCCTCTCTTGGGATAAGTGCAGACCAAGATCAGCTGACACACGTTTGTACGGTCTAATCATCGTTTACACTGGTAGCAATTTAGTCAGTACTTGTAAAAACTTCCGACTTAAAGTGATAAAAAGTGTTATTTCTCCCCTTATAGTTATACATAGTTTTATTTTCCCCTTATAGTTATAAATAGTTATATTTTCCCCTTAAAGTTACAAATACATGTAGTTATATTTTCCCCTTAAAGTTATAAATACATTGTAGTTTTATTTCCCCCTTAAACCTGTAAATAGTTTTGTTTCCCCCTCAAACTTGTAGTTTTGTTTCACCCCTCAGTTATAAATAGTTTTGTTTACCCCTTAAAGTTATAAATTGTTTTATTATTATCCTTAAAGTTATAAATAGTTTTGTTTTCTGCTTAAAATTATGAATAGTTTTATTTCCAATTTAAAGTTAGAGATAAATTTGTTTTCCCCTCAAAGTTATAAATAGTTTTGTTTCCCCCTTAAAGTTATAAATAGTTTTATTTCCCCCTTAAAGTTGTAGTTTTGTCAAGAATAAAGGATGGACAAGTCCATTTTAGATATTTAGTGTGGTGATAGTTAAATTTACCATACCATGGTAAAGTTACATAAAGAATTTAATTAATTGTAAGGATGTCACGGTGATCAAAAATGCTAACTGTTTAATTGGTGACCAATGACCAATGTGTTAAACTTTTAATTGTAATAATGCACAGAGGGACACCTGAGGTCTTCCTCCTCAAGTAAAGCTGGAAAATTGCCAAAAGACTGTTAAAAATGTGATTGTGACTAAAAACCAAACGACAATAAAAAAAATGCAGTCCTTTTCATAGGTTGAGTTTGTGCTTGTTTACAACATTAAGTTAATGTTTCAGGGAAACCAAGTCAATTTTTTCATTTTGTGTATCAAATTATAACTTTGTTTGCTTTTGTATATGGGAAATGTTTGTATATTTCAGTCAAGTATGTCAGTTTCTAAAGAGAGGTGCCCAACTTAATGTAGAGGATTGCGAGGGAAAGGTATGTGTAATCATGTTTTCAATGTTTATTTTTTGGTCATATATTTAAAGAATAGTACATTTGATGAATAGGGACAGCTATTGTATGGGGAGTCAGTGGCCAAATGGTTAAGGTCGTTGACTTCAAACCACTTGCTTCACACCGCTGTGGGTAGGTTTGAATCCCAACAGGGACTTTGGATTCTTTCATGTGAGGAAGCTATCCAGCTAGCTTACGGAACGTTGGTGGTTCTACTCAGGTGCCAGTTTGTGCCTGAAATAACACTCTGAAGGTCTTTCTCCACCTCCATTTCCTTGTGAACTTCTACAAATGGTAATGTAAATCAAGCACGTAGGGTCCACAACTAGCCCCTGCCTTTGGACCTGTTTGCTAATTAATATGCTAAAGAAATGTAGAAAAAAAAAATATTATCTTTCAAAACACGTTTGTGTCAGTGTTGAATTCATATTAATCTGCACAGAATTTCTCAGTTTATTAAACAAAACTTATTGACCGAGAGAAAAAAGACAGCTTAAAAAACACCAGGTAAATAAAATACTTTTTGATACTTTCAGGATCCATTGTCAATAGCAGTCTCAGCAGCGAATGCAGATATAGTCACCTTGTAAGTCAAATTTATTAACTCGGCTTTCGAAAAACGAAAAAATAAATATAATTTTGCTTTGAGTATAAAAGTGGTATGCAACCTTAAAAAAATTGACTTGGTTAGATATTCTAAGTTTTATATATATATTTATTTGAGATTTTTTTGGTACAGACACGATAAATTGCATTATGCTGTAAAATAAAAATCAAGTCCACCCATTTAGCTCAATATTAAGGAGATCGCGTACTGCGAAATCATTATTATTTTTGGGCCACTAATTTTGTGATTTTCGTAGATAGGTCAATCCACAAATTTAAATTCCAACAAATTTCATTTCACCTACTGTTAGATTATTTTGCATAACATAATTTACATTTTACCCTTTCTGATCAGGATCCATGCTGTTCACTTACCAACTCTTTTATTAGTAGAGAAACTGATAGCGAACAGCATGGATCCTGATCAGACTGTGCGGATGCGCAGGCTTGTCTGGATCCATGCTGGTCGCAAACCCATTATGTTGGTTTTGTCGTGACGCGGCTCATATATTATTTTTCATACTATACAGACTACGGCTGGCCAAGCTTAATGAGGAGATGAAAGAATCCGATGATTATTTGGGATCAAATCCAGGTACTTTTCATATTTTTCCCTTTACGTCAATTGAATTTTTTGTAAAGAAATAAAAAATTCTTGCATGATATTTGAAACATTTTTTTTACTTCTCAAAATTAGATGATAAAATAATTGTGTATTTTATCATACACCCGTGCCGATTTTGCGACTCCGTAAATATGGTATTGCACGGCCGTGCATATATTTTGACGTGGTGTCATTAGCGTTATACAAACATAGTGTAAAGACGCGCTAGATGTTTGCATTAAACTATGGGCGTGTCAATGAAAAATGATTCTTATTTCCGTCTTATTTTAGGTTTGTAATAAGTAGAATATTAAATTCATATAAGTTCATTACTGAATTTATTGAACTTGTTAAATAAAATAATATTATGCCCGCCAGAGGCTGGCATTATATGATTTTATCCAATTTGTGCAATAAATTCAGTATTGAACTTACATTTATTCAATATTTTCTATAAAATAATAAATTAAGAATTAAATGCTGGATCAAACTTGTGGCAAACACATTTTGATCTTACTGCCAGCATTTGACCCTTAACCTGCTGAATTCCTTAAAATGGATTTTTCCAATTTTCATTTTTGGAACAGCCCATTATCAATTTTAGGTATATCAAGGTGAGAGTTTGAAGTTGGCTAGCCAACAGTATAGAGCCTGGTCAGACTGTACGGATGTGCAGACTGGCCTGGCTCTATACTGGTGGCAAAGACTAATCACTTTCGCCATCAGCATGGTAAAGGGTAATTAGGTAACCATCTTTTATTTTATCTGGAAAATGGCTTGCTAATAGATTATACACAGTTTTAACAAGTTCAATAAATTAAGTAATTGTGAACCTACACAAATATACTATTTTATCACATAACCAAAATAATCAAAATAGTCAAAAAATTTGGACGGCCGTGCAATACCATTTTTACGTAGTCACAAAAGCGTGTCAATAAATTGATGTCTGATAAAACTGAGTAAGGAACCTAATATTGAAATATTGCTTGAATATTTTTATATGCCCGAAAGAATTTTGGGCATATTATGTTATACCCCCTGGCGTCCGTCTGTCTGTCCGTCCGTACGTCCGTCTGTTAGCAATTTGGTTTTAAGTTCCATTTGGCCCACAATATTCAAACTTCATAGGATGATTGTCCATATTGGGTAGAAGACCCCTATTGATTTTGGGGTCACAAGATCAAAGGCCAAGGTCACTATTTCCTTTAAACTGAAAACAGTTTCCGGAGCATAACTTAAGTTCAATTTTGCCCACAGTGTTCAAACTTCATGGGATGATTGTCTATATTTGGTAGAACACCCCTATTGATTTTGGGGTCACAAGGTCAAAGTTCAAGGTCACTATTACCTTAAAACTGAAAACAGTTTCCAGAGCATAACTTAAGTTCCATTTGGCCCACAATATTTACACTTCATAAGAGGATTGCTATTTGAACGAGGTAATACTTTATTTAATTCCCATGTCTTACAAATGCTTCATCCTTACTAAAAAAAGCAAAACACTTTCGGGCATATAATGCTCCGCCTAGCGGTGCTCTTGTTATAATTAGGTTGATTAAAGCACTGTCAAGAGCTTAAAAGTTCTTTTATAGGAAAAGAAAAAAGAAGCCAGAGATCTTTTCAGAATTTGTGATTTAAAAGATAATTTTGTGAGACTTGTACAGAATTGAGATTGTTCATAATTCACTTCACTATCATATTTATTGAATTTGTTTTATATGTTCTTGCTGAATTAGCTTTTGCTAAATGTTGAATCAATTTGTTTTCTTATTCCTAGGTGACGAGACTTTTAACGACGTTTTTAGAGACTTTACAAACATGGCGTCAAACAATCCGGAGAAATTGAAACGAAACAAATAATGTTAGTTTTATACATGTGGATGCAGTTGAGTTCATGGAAAAACTAAATATTGTATCAAACATTGTGAAGAAATTGAAATGAAACAAATACTGTAAATTTGGAATTTGTTGATCCTCAGTCATCCAACCACACACTGCCCGTTATCTGAAGAATAAGAAATGAATACAAACAAATAATAATATTAGTTCACTGAAGACACACGGACTCACGCCAGTGACTGGCCTTCATGACGAGTCTCCCCCTTATATTGGAATATGTATAATATTAGATCTTTAAATTTTTTTTCTTTTTTTTAAACGGCTTGACAAAATTAAAATGCATGAGTGTAGTAGGTTTTTTTTTACCGTTTATATGGTTAAGTACATATATAAAGAGTGTAAACTCTTGCAATTTAAAGGGACTCCCCTGAGGGTTTTTGACATGACAGAACAGGAAAAATAATTTTGAGATTAATGTTCCATTTGATGTAGGTCTAGACAAACAACATTGCTGGTGTACAAATCATACACCACTCCCTGTAAATATACTAATGTGAAACTACCCATGACCTTCAGAGTAATTGGTGAAAATTCATCCACAAACAAGAATATAATTTCAAATGATATGTTTTGAGTGTTCACAGTTTGAAGTATAAGATATGAGATTGGTTAAATCAGCGAATTGAACACTCTACCGCTTTGAATATCTATATATATGCTTAAACATCATGCAACAGCGCTTTCACTGTCACTTGCTTTAATATGTGTACATGTATAATAAGTATATGTTTGCAGACTCTCAATGATCCATGTTACACTATAGTCTGTTTCACAATGTTCGATCCACATAGAACCACACTATAGTCTGTTTCACAATGTTTGATCTACATAGAACCAAACTATAGTCTGTTTCACAATGTTCGATCTACATAGAACCAAACTATAGTCTGTTTCACAATGTTCGATCTGCATAGAACCACACTATAGTCTGTTTCACAATGTTCAATCCACATAGAACTAAACTATAGTCTGTTTCACAATGTTTAATCCACATAGCACTGTGAGTTGATGTATATGATATATGGAGTTAATTTAAGATAATTGTTTCATTGTTTCAGCTGTATGTGCAATGTTTAGATGTTTATATTTTGTATCATTGATTTAAAAGGACATTTAAAAGTTGATATTCTAAAGCTTTGCACTTGGTATATTGAATTACATAAATTCTCTATATATGATAAGCACACCCCCCTTTTTTGCATGATACCTGGGTGCTTGTATTAGGAGAAATACGGTATGCTTTGCTATAAAACAGTATGCTGCATTTGTTGTTGTTGTTTTTTTTCAATGATCAAATATTTCATTGATTTGTGTACAGGATTCATTTGAATATTTTCTGAACAATTTTAATATATTTCAAAGTATAATACTTGTACATGTAGTTTTTTTTTAGAAAAAAACTCTAAATAACTTATTTTTTGTGTTTGTCCATAAATAGCTTATAGAACTGTCTTGTTTTGCTGTAGAGCCAAAAACTGCCATGCCAATTCATCTTCATTTAAAGTGGTATGTTCCTGTTGTATGATACAGTAACCTTCATCCCCTATACAATCTTTGTTAAACGATCTTGCCCTGAATTGTATTAGCACAAAATCTTCGCTAAATAAACTGTAATGATATAGCATCTGTGTCTATACTGGACAGTCAGGTCATTACTAGTATTAGTGCTCAAAGGTTAAAAGGACCGTGTGCGAGTTTTGGGGATATAATGACATCTTTAATATTGTAGACTGGTTAAAGGCTTCTAAGAGATCAATTCAACCAGTCTGGAAATTATATTCTACAGCTCTCTTACTCAATATTAAAACATTAGCTCTCGGTCAATTGTTTGATGATATGAAGCAGTTTTCATCGTAAAACATTGTGCAATTCAACTGTTGAAGTTTTACCCTTAACCACCAGGGTAAAAGTTAATCTAAATTTAAAATTGGCAAATGTGTCTCCTCCATTGATATTTATCATGAACAGAGATTTTTTTGCATTTTTTTTTTTTTGCATTTTAAAGCAATTTAGTACAATTTTTTTTTTCATTTGAATTTAATTAGTTACATATATTTGGATTAAGCTGGGACCTATGACAAGCAGCTAGAAGGGGGGAACTGTCCGCCACAGACCTTCAAAGAGTTGAAGGCAGTCCGCTGTAGTGCTCACTGATTATCTTCCAATCGGGCGCACATGCCAGCATTTTAATCTCGTTGTGAAACTGTTTCTTTAAGTCCATAATATACAGTGTTTATATTAGAGAAATATATGACACCTGCAGCTGTTGTAAGCTTTGAATAGTCACTGTGTATGTAAACTGTCTTAATAATTGCAAAGAAACACTTAGTTCATGGATCGATGGACTGTCATTTGGACACCAACATTAGACTGTGTATCCAGTCCTATTATTTTATGTCTCAGAATAAAAATGTCAAGGTTTTGTTCTTGACATGGCAGAAAAAAATGTTTTGCCAATAAATGTAATCTGTTTTGAATGAACATTTGGTATAAATTCTGTGCTTTACAATGGATGATGGGGTACGATTCTCAAATAGCCCTCGGCCTGCAGTCTGCTTTATATGACCAGTGCAGACCATGATTAGTCAGCAAATCCCAGCCTTCTGATCATGGTCTGCACTGTTCGCTATTCAGTCAACGTATGTTTTGAAATTTTCCCTTAAAATGACACTGATTTTGTCCGTATTGAAAGATGAACAAGTTTATGTTAGATATTTTATGAAGTAAAGGTTTTAGAAAACAAAACAGTTCAAAATATACTAAGTAGTTGACAGATTTGTTTTTTCTTTTATAAATATTGTTATTAGTGCACAATGATTGTCAGAGTATCGTCGTCAATTCTGTACATATTAATATGTAACCAGTGTATTTCCACGGTGCTTTTCTTGAAATCTATATTTGTGATAAGAAACAATCTATGTTGCCTTCTAGAGCATTCTGTGATTTTGTAATTGCCTTTCAAAGAAATTTTTCAGTGACCATGTGTTCTATTAAACATAAATTTTCAAAAACTCCTGAAGGAGGTTTATTTTATTTGAATGAAGCTGGATCGTATTTTTAAATTAGGCTGGTTTTTAGCTCGACTTTTCTATGAAAAGGGGAGCTATCCTACTCGCCCCGGCGTCGGCGTCGGCGTCGGCGTCGGCGTTGGCGTCGGCGTTGGCGTCACACCTTGGTTAAGTTTTTCGTACCACCCCACTTTATTTCAGAAGTATTACAAGTATGGCTTTGAAACTTACCATACTTGTTCACCATCATAACCTCCATCTACAGACAAGAGTACATAACTCTGTCAAGGTTTTTGACAGAATTATGGCCCTTTTTTGACTTAGAAAGTGTATTGAGCTTGGTTAAGTTTTTTGTACCACCTCACTTTATTTCAAAACCATTGGAGGTATTGCTTTGAAACTGACCATACTTGTTTACCATCACGACCTTCATCAACAGACAAGAGGACATAACTCTGTCAAGCGTTTTTGACAGAATTATGCCCCTTTTTTGACTTAGAAAATACATTGAATATGGGTAAAATCCACTTATTGCCGTAACCCTTTGAGATATTGCTTTGAAACTTTTAATGCTATTTCACATCATTACCCCCATCTGTACGCAAGAGAAGGTAACTCTGTCAAGGATTTGTTTTAAAAATTAAGGCCTTTTATCGACTTAGAATCTTGGTTAAGTTTTTAGTACCAGTCCACTTTTTGACTGAACTGTTTGAGATATTAATTTGAAAGTTGGAATACTTGTTTACAATCATGATTCCCAAACATGTCCAGGAGAAGGTAATTCTGTCAAAGATTTTATTTGAATTATGGCCCTTAACTGTCAATGTTTTGTATTATAGGCAAGCAGTGTTCAAGGGTATCACACAATTCAGTAAAATAATTCTTCACTAAATATCTTAATGCTCATGGCCATTGTTCACTTTAAAAATACAGAGATTCTTGTATTGCCTTTTACTGCAAAAACTTTTTTTATTGGCAAGCAATAAAAAAGTCGAGCGCGCTGTCTTACGGACAGCTCTTGTTTAAGTATCCAGCCTGTAACGAAGTGAAAATGTAATTACCAAAACGTAATTACCGAAAGTAGATAGTTGGTCTAGAATATGTTACTAGTTGTTTTTTTTACCTGGCAACGGTGCTATAATGAGAGCTCTGCTTGTGTGTTTTGTCCTGGCTACTGTAAATTTAAATTCCAAGCAAGCTAGCCAGATTATAGAATGTCTGGGTGTTTTGTTGCTTTTACCGATTTACCAGCTTTTACCAGAAATTTTGTTTTAAGGGACAAGTTACTGTTGATGCGACTAGTACACTGTAAAAGATGGAGAAATATCACGTTTAACAAATGCCTCGATATTTTGAAGTCATAAGACAAAATGAAATAGAATAAGACTTGTATGCTACTAGTTATGTCCCTTTTGAATGATAATAAGAGCTACTACTTTGTTATTGTCATAGTCTTATCAATAAGTTATCTCCCTTTTGAACTATACGTACGGCCACTCTTTTCTTTCTTTACCAGCTTTATGTCCCTTTGGAATAATAAGGACTACTCTTTTGTTCCTTTCTTAGTTTGGTCAAACAAGTTATCTACCTTTTGAACAATGCTTATGGCTACATTTTCCATACTTTGTTAGGTAGATTAGAAATGTTAAGTCCCTTTTGAATTTGTTAATTGATTTATTATGTTCCTTATGAATAGTTAAAGCTATGTTATTCCTTTGTTAGTTGGTTAGCTGGATCCAGATAAAAATTGAGCCGTGTCATGACGAAACCAACATAGTGCGTTTGCGGCCAGCATGTATCCAGACCAGCCTGCGCATCCGTGCAGTCTGATCAGGATTCATGCTGTTCGCTTTCAGTTTCTCTACTTGTAATAGGGTTTGTAGGCGAACAGCATGGATCCTGTTCAGACTGGTCTGGATCCATGCTGGTCGCAAACCCATTATGTTGGTTTTGTCATGACGCGGCTCAAATGTTTAATGTTAACCACTTACTGTTGAGAGTTTATCTGTGATGGATTCCACATAAATGTTAATTAATATTTTAGATTATTCTTATAGTTATTAAAAAAAACCCACCTCTTTACAATTATTATTGTTGTAGTTAGTATTTGT